ATTGGGGCAAAAACAGCGAAATTGGAACGACGGCGAATCCAACCCACACCTCCCACCACTGTCCCGACAGATACCACAGTCCGCCGCACGCCACCGCATCACGAACCCCCTTTCCAGCACCTCTGCATAATTCGTAGCGTCAATCCTCCCTTCTTTGCCAGTCAATTCCACCGGCGTCATCACAATCCCACTACCGTTGCCGCAAGTCTCCGTTGCGGTTCTCAAATTCGTATCGTTCGCTAGCATGACCAGCTCCACACTTGTCTGGCATGACCGGATCCTATACCTCTCTAGACCCGCACTCGCGTTATTCAAGCAATTCGAAATGAATACGAGTTTCGTAGTCGTATCGTTGTCAATCAAAAACCGGTTAGGGTCAAGCGTTAAGTTTCTGATATCCGAGGGGCAAGATACAGTCTGATTCCACGAAATCGCGGTGGTTTGAAGTCGGAGATAACTTCTTTCATAATCAATTTCTTCCACCCTGAATTCGTTTTCTGAGATCTTAAGAATTGGGAAACCATGCTTGCAATGGAGTTCTAATCCAGGGTAGGCACAAGTGGAATTTTGTAAACCGTTGATGAAAAATGGATAAGTAATGTTCGGCCCATTTTCACTGCAGCTACGGGGGACACAAGCTTCATAATGTGGATCCAAACATAGAGATTGCTTGAAGAAGAAGAAGAAGAAGAAAGTGAAGAAAAGGGGGTTTATGGAGGTGGGTTTTTTGAGCCATTTCATAATTTTGAAGAGACCTGGTTGAGATGTGTGTTTGTCTGAAAGTAGATGGGGGGAAGAATTTATCAGTTTTTTATTATGTCGAAAACATAAAAAAATAATTTATTTTAATTTGAAATCTATTTTAAGTAACTTATTTTTTATTTTGATACTTAAGATATAATTTTTTTTAATATTTAAGTATCAGGGTAACCGGTGAGACGAAACATAATGAAGTAAATATGCGAGCTTAATAGTTTTTCTTAAAAATGAGAGAAACAAATTGAAATTACATGCTTGAACACAAGGAATTTACATTCCATCATATGTGGAATTCAAGTTCCTTACCGGAACTCAAAGAATGAAGCAAACATATGAATGAAATTGACCATTCCAATTTCTTCAAATTCCAACAAACTAAACGCCACCTAATATGTTGGTTCCAAGGGTATATACTTGCACAAACGAATGATAGTTCAAGTCTGACTGCCACAATATGGTAATTATAAATGATTTTGGATTGACGAACACTAAACTCTCAAGCCAACTATTTAGCACGTCATGCATACTTGAGTTTTTTCCCCCTTCCTATAATACTCTTGACACGGAACAATTTATAATAATCTCACTTTTTACCCCTAACAATTCATAATACAAATTTTCTTTTTGGCATTCTGAATCCCCCTTTTGGTCTTTGGAATTGGTCTTAAACTCTTAATTGTGGATGTGTACTCGACTTATAACAACTTGAAAATACTTGGTCCAACCGAGGCTTGACAAAGATATGGCCCTTGTAGTTGTGCCTTTAAAAGTGGACCTTTCCACCCATTTGAATTTGGGATCAATGATAGGGCCCATGTTAATTAAATGACTTTTCTTTTTTATATTTCAAGTCAATAAATATTAATTGAAATTATTTTTTATTTGATATTTTTTTTTTCAAAAACTCTTAATGGTGTTAGTTCTAACATCAAATGATGATATTAGTCTTTATCTAATGGTATTTACACGATCTGGTGTGAATGTTAGAGATAAACCATTATCCGACGGCTAAAAACTTCTTATTAGGTCCCTAAAGAATACAATTTATGTGCATTTTTTGGAGTATGAAGCAATTGGATACAAGCTTCTGTGTATTTATATACAAATATGATAATTTTGATCTTTTTGCTCGGATTCGGGTCCATAAGCAGTAACAATTGCCCTATGAAGACTCRCTTYCGCTACGGYTCCGATGGGTTTCCTTAACCATTCACCTCCCTTGTCRTAGGAAACGGTGAGCAGTTAATAATCAAGAATGTTAAAGGGTGCATTAGGTGTTGTCAAGATTACTAGTGTTAACACTGAGGGTATTTCAACTAGTAAAAAGGTTGAGTTTGCTCATTAATGATCGTCATTTCAAGTCTTATTATAACCGCTTAAGGTTTATTTGACTGACAACTTTAGGATGTCGTCTGATTAATTAATGTATGGACAAATTGATCTATACATCCACAAATAAGAAAAGACTATCAGTGTCTCGGACGAACAAGACATTACACCAATGTTGGTGTTTGGACACTTCACATTGGGTGGCTAATTTAATAAACGATCTATTTGTTGGTATAAACGAAATAAAATATATTCTTAGAATACAAATCTAAACTCCTCTTCAGAGTTACGTTCCTGAGTTATAAGAAATCAAAATTCTTGTGACTCAGAGTTATGCTCGTAGATACTTTCTAGACTTAGAAGACAACTCTGAATTCTTCTTATTCAGAGTTAAGTCCAGAGTTATTTTCCARTCTAACAATAGAATTCCGAATTCTTGTGTTTCAGAGTTAATGCTCAGAGTTTTCCTTCAGAGTTAATGACCAGAGTTTTTCTCATTTAATAAGAGCCAAGGACAATCATTATCAAAAGTTGGTTTATTTCTAAGACAACGGAAAATTTATACAAACTTGTAGCATTGGCTAATTTTAGCAATTAACTCTTGAAAAGAACTTCACACTTGTAGCCATATTGGTCGTCTTGATTTAGAAGTCTTGCAACGCTAGATATTGTCCGTCGTGAACTCTAGAGAATTTCTTAGCCCTTGTGTTTGTCAAGTCTGATTCCGTCCTTCATACAAAGCTTAACAGATGTTCTGCACGTGCTATGCGGTCAATCTGAGCCAGACTCCGTGTTTCATGCAGATTTGCACAAAGGTTCTGCATTTAAGTCTTGAGAAAGATCTCTGTCTCTTCACGTAATGCGTCAAGGCTCTGTCTCTTACTCCGAAGATGGCCTTCAGACTTGTAACTCTGAATAGTTTTCGTCTTAATCTCTGGAAACTTTCTTTACGCTTGTGTCCTTGAAGCCTGATTTCGTTCTTCATACAAAGATTCTACAGGTGCTATGGGGTCATTCTGACTCTGCCTCTGTCCTTTACACAGAGCTTTATAAAAGCTCTGTACTTGTCTTGAGTGAGAGTTCTATCTCTGTATGTACTACCTAGAGCCTTTGATTCCCTTTGCTTGTCTCATACAGAGGTATACAAAGGCTCTGCATGTACTATGCAGCGCTGCATATTGGATCTACATTGTTCGTCTTCATTTAGAAGTTTTTCTGATCATAGAAGCACATGCCGTCCTTTGTATATGTAATATTTAATTCTCGAGTAAGAGCATCTTTATATCAAAAATTTAATCGGACTTGTACCTTTGTCTGTGTTTATAAATTACCTCCGATTATTAATTATTTATAAAATACATATCAGTTCGTTTAATTTTTGTCATTAACCCGTGTAATACACGGGTCCAAACCTAGTTACTTATATATATATATATAAAGATCTGGAATGGAACCCCACAGCTCCAACTCTGGCCACTTCTCAACAACTCTAACTCCCGATGCCTCCATCGTCGGTAGGCCTAACCACTTACCACCTCCATCACAGGCAGACCCAACCACCCAATAAACAGTTCCATCTCCACAATCTTTTCGACCATATTGTGTGTGCGATTGCAAGATTTGCTTTGTGTGTGTGTATGTGTTTCTGCTTCATC